ACGACCGTTGTTAATGTTTAAAGCTGAGAATTGATTGCACATGGACGAGTGTAGACTTCAGGTGTAACTTGGAAGAAACTTGATGGGATGGCACGGGGCGGCCAGTGGTTATGGTCACTGTGTCGCGCATATTGTGGCAACAGCGAGCGAAATGTGGCGTGAGTGCGAGAACGGGTTAACAGCCAAAAGCTTTATGTGACACTTATTTCATGCGCGAGAACTGGATATCGGGGTTGTGACCGTAATGCGATCAGGAAAGGCCGGTGTCAGGTAGTCATGTTTGGGGTGAGGGGAAGGATATGAGAAGAGGGGGAGGTTAGTACCGCAATGCCTTAAATAAAGTAGGTAAGAAAAGCGAAAAAAATGTGTCGCCTGTGATATTGAAAGAAAATTGTGGTCAACGATGGCACAGTCGCCGCATAGTTAGCGAAGGGACGCGGCGGCGGGGGGAGGGGGGGAATAATGGGTGAGGTGCATCGGGACGGGAAGGGGCTATCTCTTTAAGGCGCAATAATATTGGGATAAGTGTTTTGGTGTTTAGGGTGTCGGGATCAAACGCATCAATAGTGCTCTCGTGGAGGCGCTTTATTGGGTTAGCATCGGGTGGAGGTGGCAGCCGAATGTGCAGTTGGGATGGATGGGGAGGTAGCTATAGATACGCAAGTAGAACGTTTGGACACGTGAACAGATAAATATATTTTTGAAGACTTCCGTATAGATGAATGGCGCAACTACATGTACATTCATAGATGTTCCAATATATATGGTTATGTGTGTTATGTAGATATTTAGTTTTAGATCAAATAAATACATATATGACACTTAAATAGACATTTTATCTATGGGCGTCCTGGACATAGTTAGACCCATTTCCAACGGGAGGAAAGCTGCTAGCTGGTGGTGAAACACTTACCGGAAGGTCACAGCTGGCGCGCCGCTAGTCAGAGGAAGGCCACAGCTGGTAACCGGTAAGGGAATCCCACACGCCTCCTGAGCCATCGCCCACACAAAGAGGATGTATGTAATTCTCCAAACACATTGCTGTTTCCTTTTAGCCGGGGCGTGTTGACGCTGCCGCAAGTAGGTGTTGAGAGTTCTCCAGATGATGCACTTGTGGCCGGCCGGGTCAGCGCGGCGGGGAGGAGGAGGGCGCTCGAGAGGAGGGAGGAAGGAGGGAAGGCTCAGAGGACGCGGGGCACGCGGCGCACGGAAGAAAGACACGGGCGAGGGGGGAGAGGGAAGAACGCACGGACGAAGGACAAGATAGAGAAGGGCACGATGTGAAGGCGTACGAAGGAGAGGGGGGAAAGAGCGAGTGGGAGTGAGGGCTGCAAGGAGGAAGGAGGGAGAAATGCAAGATGAAAGGCTGCAGGGAAGCGAGGACGCAAGAAGTGAAAAATGCAAAGCGACGAGGCACGAGGCATTTGTGAAGGAAGTGCCCAGGGAGTCGGGGTCGAGGTACACAGCCCAGAGGACACCGAAGGACACCGAGCAGACTGCGAGGGAGGGAGGTTGCAGGCTACCCTCGCTCAGGCTTGTTTACATTAGGAGGAGCTGTGCATGCAACAGACTCGGTCGGCGACGTGCTACTTGTGGCCAGACTCTCATGCACATTTGCCGTTTGACCTCAGTTGCGCAAGTCTTTTCTGTATGCCTGTCCGTGGCAAAGAGGTCGTTGTTTATGTGCTGGAGGGCAGAGGGGCAGCGAGGGGCTCTGGGGGCAGCGAGGGGCACTGGGGGCAGAAGGGGTGCCCGTGATTGCGAGGAGGAAGACTCTGTGCTTGGGCGGTGTGCAGCCATGTTGGATCTCAATCATGGATGTGGCGTCCTTGTGTGTGCGTGCGTATACGCGTGCTTGCCCTGGCTGGTTGTAGGCGGTGCTTGGATGCAGCTATCAATTTAACAACACTGATAAAAACTTATTCAACACTAGTTTGTGGCCATTGTGCGCAATAGATGCCTAAATTATATGTTTCTCTCTCTCTCTCTCTCTCTCTCTCTCTCTCTCTCTCTCTCTCTCTCTCTCTCTCTCTCTCTCTCTCTCTCTCTCTCTCTCTCTCTCTCTCTCTTCCCTCCCCCTACTCCTCCCTCATTCCCTTCCTCATTCTCTTCCTCCTTCACTCCCTCCCTTCCTTCCTTTCTTCCTTCCTTCCTTCCTTCCTTCCTTCCTTCCTTCCTTCCTTCCTTCCTTCCTTCCTTCCTTCCTCCTCCCTCCCTCCCTCCCTCCCTCCCTCCCTCCCTCCCTCCCTCCTTCCTCCCTCCCTCCCTCCCTTCCTCCCTCCCTCCTCCCTCCCTCTCTCCCTCAATCCCTCTCTCCCTCTCTCCCTCCCTGTGTGTGTGTGTGTGTGTGTGTGTGTGTGTGTGTGTGTGTGTGTGTGTGTGTGTGTGTGTGTGTGTGTGTGTGTGTGTGTGTGTGTGTGTGTGTATGTATGATTCTTGCTTTCTGTGTTTTTTCGCTTTCTTTCTATATTAGGCTTTCTTTTTTCTTTCTTCTCTCCCTTAGTTTGTATTTTTCTCCCACTGTTACTCTCACTCTCACCCTCTCACCCTCACCGTCGGTCTTTCGGCATCATTCACTCTCGGTGCCCTTATATAATAGATCCGAGTTAGTCATCATTTAGAACACCGCCAGACCGTGGAGGCGCCAGCCATGGACCAAACCATCTTGTTTTAATCGAAGCCCTCGACGATGCCAGTGTTTCCACGCGGAGGAATACGTACCGAGATCAAATAAGACTTTTGGATTCCTCTTGCCCCAACCCCACTCCCCTCCCCCCAACCTCTTCCTCGGCCCTAACTCCTACCCTGTCCCCGACTCTTTTCCCCGACCCGAACCTCGTCCCTCTTCCCCGATCCTCTTCGTCGACCCTAACTCCTTCCTATCACCGACTCTTTTCCCCGAGCCTAACCTCATCCTTCTTTCCCGAACCTAACCTCTCCCCTCTCCCCGACCCTAACGTCTCCCCTCTCCCCTCTCCCTTCTCCCCTCTCCCCGACCCTCTTTCACGACCCTAACCTCTTCCCTCTCCCCGACCCTAACGTCTCCCCTCTCCCCTCTCCCCTCTCCCTTCTCCCTTCTCCTTTCTCCCCTCTCCCCTCTCCCTTCTCCTTTCTCCCCTCTCCCCTCTCCCTTCTCCCCTCTCCCCTCTCCTTTCTCCCCTCTCCCCTCTCCCTTCTCCTTTCTCCCCTCTCCCCTCTCCCCTTTCCCCTCTCCCTTCTCCTTCTCCTTTCTCCCCTCTCCTTCTCCTTTCTCCCCTCTCCCCCTCTCCCTTCTCCCTCTCTCCCCTCTCCCTTCTCCCCTCTCCTCTCTCCTTTCTCCTTTCTCCCCTCTCCCCTCTCCTTCTCCCTTCTCCTTTCTCCCCTCTCCCCTCTCCCTTCTCCTTTCTCCCCTCTCCCCTCTCCCTTCTCCTTTCTCCCCTCTCCCTTCTCCCTCTCCCCTCTCCCTTCTCCTTTCTCCCCTCTCCCCTCTCCCTTCTCCCCTCTCCCCTCTCCCTTCTCCCCTCTCCCTTCTCCCCTCTTTCCCCGCCCCTGATTCCCATTCCCTCCTCCCCGACCCCATCCCCTCTTCTGGTTTTCAGCTGAGTTCAGGCGGGGTTTCCAGTTGCAAAAGTACGGGCGGAATTGCACATGCCCGAACTTTGAGAGGTTCCGGGCTGACCTTGAGGCTTGCGATGTGTCCTTGATGCCTTTCGGTGTCGCCTTGGATGTCATTGGTTGTTTTTTGTTTTTGTTATGGCTACTGCTGTCGTATTTACTGTTGTTGTTGTTATTATTATTAGTATTTATTACTGTTATTGTTTTTAGCATTATCATTGCTAATGTTAATATTAGTGTAAATGTGATTAATATTGATATTAACATTAATGTTATCAGTATTAATATTAACATTAGTATTAATGTTGATATTATTATCATCATCGTCATTGTCGTTATTGTTTTTGCTGCTGCTGTTATTGTTATTGTTGTTATCAACATTATTATTATTATTATTATTATTATTATTATTATTATTATTATTATTATTGTTATTGTTATTGTTATTGTTGTTGTTGTTGTTGTTGTTGTTGTTGTTGTTGTTGTTGTTGTTGTTGTTGTTGTTGTTGTTGTTGTTGTTGTTGTTGTTGTTGTTGTTGTTGTTGTTGTTGTTATTATTATTATTATTGGTGGTGTTGTTATGATGATGGCTCCCATTGTGATTATCATTTTTATTATTTTACGTGTATTTTCAATCTTCTTGCGCGACCAGACCAAGTTTATTTCGCAAGAGATTATATTTTCTTTAAAGACGAGTAATATCAGGATGATATGGGTCGGAGAACGTTGTGGCGTGAGAGAAAGAGTGGAGAGTTGGTGAGAAAACAATAGGTGTTGGTATAGTGGAATAAAGGGATGGGGGCGATTGTGAAAAGCTTTGAGCGAGACCGATTGTGGCAAGGATAAAATAACACACACACACACACACACACACGCACACACACACACACACACACACACACACACACACACACACACACACACACACACACACACACACACACACACACACACACACACACATACACATACACATACACATACACATACACATACACATACACATACACATACACATACATACACATACATACAGAGAGAGAGAGAGAGAGAGAGAGAGAGAGAGAGAGAGAGAGAGAGAGAGAGAGAGAGAGAGAGAGAGAGAGAGAGAGAGAGAGAGAGAGAGAGGGTGAGTCATTAAGCTTGGGAGTCAGTGAGTGGGTGGGTGGGTGGATAGATGGATAGATGGAGAGATGGGTGGGTGGATGAGTGGATAGTTGTATAGATGAATGAGTGGGTGGGTGGTTAAGTAAGTTGATAATTGTGGAGAAGTGAGTGAGTAGAGGAGCCGCAAAGAGAGACGTAGAGACAGAGAAAGCGAGCGTCGAGCGAGGCAAGGGATGAGACAAGGCAGGGCGAGAGACAAGAGGGCGGTGCTTGAGTTAATCCCACCAACGAGCGTAAGT